TAAATCCTCTCTTGTTGGATTTTTCCTTTAAGAAAATTGATTTTTCCTTTAAGAAAAAGCTAAGAAAGACTGGATGGAAGGGATGGAGATGGGGGAAATCCAGGGGAATGGTGAGATTGCTGGATCCCAGAGGTTCCAAGGAGCTAGTACTTCAACATATTTTTTAAGGGATCACAATTCAAATAACAAAATATAACGGTAAGAAAAAAGAGAATGCTATAATTCTTTAATGATTTATAAATCCTTGATGGTGGATCAAAAAAGTCGGTAAATGAGTAAGACTGCCTGTGAACAGAACATTATACCAAGCACAAAGCACAGCTATGAAGAAATTAAAGGCACATCTGTGCTCTTCCCTTGAGAAATTTTCAGTGTAGTTTGGGAGTCTCAGTAAGACCATGTAGTAGATAAACAATTTTCCCTGCACTAAACTCAGAAATGCAAACATGTCATTTAGTTCTCTTTTAATTAGACCTAATTGAGCTTCTAACCAGACAAGCTGTTATTCTATCACTGTCCACACCTTGTGCCTTTTCTGAAAGGTCCACAGCCCCTCCAGGAATGTCTCCACTATGGCATACTTTCCATTACACTCCAAGGCTATTTGGGACCACAGCCCTCTTGAGGCACCCAGAAGCTCCAGTTTGAACCCATTGTTGGATTCCAGATGATTCGGGTGCCTTGGAGCTTTTCTGTCCTGGCACTCCACCTCGTAGGAAGGGAAATATCTTCAAAGCCGCTGTCTCAAAATTCCAGCTTGCAAGTAGTCCACAAGTCCTCTCTACTCTATAGCCAAAGTCTTTTTCTGGAAGGAGGAAGCTTTATAAGAAGAAGAATACAGATTTGTGGAAAATATGGGCATAATATTTCATTAGGGACAATAGCAGAGGCATAAGTATATGTATGAACTCTATACCAAGGTTAACACACATAAGCACTTTTTAAGGACAGAACAGTCTAAGTAAGGGTTTGTCAGGTGATGCAGACTGTGGAAGAATTCACAACTAAAAGAAGAGATCCAGAGAGGAAGTTTATCTTACTTTCCACCAAGGAAAAGGACCAAATACTGCTAGTCAATACAGGGCAGACAATAAAGAGTGGCCTGGTCTTTTAAGCAGACATTGTTGCTAGGCAACAAAGGGAGTGGAATTCTGTTGAGGCTGAGAAGAGATATCTGGAGTTATCTTGAAAGTTATATTTTCTTTGCTTCCCAGGAGACAGACCGGCAGAGGTCCTAAGGAGGTGTCTTATCAGTATTTTTCCCAAGCCTGTAAAACAGACTGGAGCAAAAGTTATGAAAAGTTCAAAGAGGTTTGCTTGAAGGATAGGGGAGAGAGGAACTTTCTACTAACTAGAAACACCTTTGTTCAAATTATCCCTAAATTGTGAAAATAGCTGAAATGGGTTTAGCTCAGTGGATAGAGCATCAGCCTTCGAACTGAAAGGTCCCTGGTTCATTCCGGTCAAGGGCATGTACCTTGGTTGCCTGCACATCCCCAGTAGGGGGTGTGCAAGAGGCAGCTGATCAATGATTCTCACTCATCAATGTTTCTAACTCTCTATCCCTCTTTCTTCTTCTCTGTAAAAAAATCAATAAGTATATTTTTAAAAAAATAAAATAAAATAGATTGTGAAAATAGCAGGGAGGAGGGGGGTGCAAGAATGTTGCCTTAAAGGTAGCTTATTTTATTGGACAGTTCAAACAGAGGAGCCAACAAACTTAGGGTTTAATTATCAGGCGCTTCTCATAGCTTGTGGAAGACCACATCAAAGAAAAAGAAAGACTTTTTCCCTGTCCTTGCATTAAGGGGAAAAAAGAAAAGCAGGCAAACGGACAGTGATAACTGATAACAAAGAAGGGTGGATGGCCTCTACATGAGGCTGTGGTGGGAGTATCACCCATTGCATGTCCATCAGGTATCTGGCACTACCCTACACATCCAACATTTTTAGCTCCCTACACACAACACCCTTGTTTTCTATATGAGGAAACTGGGGCTCAAGTCCTGCCCCCCAAGTCCACAGCTACTGAACAGAAGAGTGGAATTTGAACCAAGTATGACTTAATCTGAAGGCGAGGCTCCTTCCTGAGCAAGGTAATGGCATGAGGAAGATAGTACCACAGATCATTTGGGGAAAAGACAGGGCAGAGAAAGCAAATTAAGAAAACTGTAGCAATCAGAAAGAAAAGAGGGAAGCTCTGAAGAGAAGTCTTGGGGTCATCAGGTAAAAGCTAGAAAAGAGGTGAGTTGGCTTCCAGATATGTCAAGTTCCTATGGCAATGTTTTAAGAAATTGGTCCTGAGCCCCTGTGAAAATTTCAGACACTGCTGATATCATTACTAGGATACTGTCACTGCTTCACAATTGCAATCAATGCAGACTGCTTACTTTTGCTACAATTGAAGATGCACAATATTCCAGCAGCTTCTAGAATATAGGGTGGTGAACTGAGCTGGTCATGAGACATAGAATGGAGGGAGCTACTTGCTGTAAGATACTTATCACAATGGTCCTAAAGGGCTCAAAGAAAAGGTAGCTCCTGGACTTTGGGGAAACTTGGCATCATGAGGGAGGGCCATTTGGGAGCAAGCAATTCTAATCAAACCAAAGAGTGACTGTGTAGAGGGATGACTAGTGGTTGTTTTCTATGGAGGTCTGACAGAGTTGTAACCATCAGTAAAGTGTTGTTTGGAGTGTCTTACTCCCTTTCAGTGTGCTGCCAAAAATCCTAGTATTTAAAACTGTTAAAAAAAAAATCCAAGAATTTAGCTGAATTTAGGTTTGGTTCAGTGGATAGAGCGTCGGTCTGCAGACTGAAGGGTTCTGGGTTTGATTCTGGTCAAGGGCATGTACATTGGCTGCGGGCACATCCCCGGTGGGGGGTATGCAGGAGGCGGCTGGTCGATGTTTCTCTTTCATCAACGTTTCTGGCTCTCTATCGCTCTCCCTTCCTCTCTGTAAAAAATCAATAAAATATATTTTTAAAAATGCTTTAAAAATAAATAAATAAAAAAACATGGCATCCATGGAAAAGAAAAATAAAGGAACAAAAGGACAGTTGAAGTACTGAGGAAGAAATTACTAAGAAATTGCTAAATATTAATATGAAGTGATATGAAAAATAGCAAATAAAGTTTCAAAACATATAACAAAGTGAAATGCATAAACTTCACAATATATATTTATATACTGCATATGAGGCCCCTAGAACCATAAGAAATGCAAAAATTTCAGTTAATCACACATTCTCAAACTGCCCCCTTTAATCTCAAATTGCCCCCCTATGGAGTGTGTACCCCACATTGGGAACCACTGCACTACAACTTTCTACATCATCTGCACCTGCACTGACCTCTCCAACCATTTCCTCCCCATCCTTCTCACTTCCTTCATCCATTTGATCCTGTCCCACACACACTGACCCCAGCCCTCTCTCCATCCACATCCTCCCACCCCCGTGCAGCTTTATTTTATGCCTCTACATGCACTGGCCCAAGCTCCCTATCTCCATCTTCCTGAATCCCCTGCAACTCTCTGCTGTAGTCCCTCATCCACTTATTTTGTCCCTATTCCCTCCACTGAGCAACTGTCAACCTATCTTACAATGGCTGCTTGGCACAGGAAATTTATGGGGGTTTGGAGGTCAAGTCCTTCAGGATGCCAGTGTCCAGGGAATGAAGCCCACAGCCATGCTTTTTAACATGCTCCCCACCTAGAGTTGCTAGTTGAAATATAGGACACTCAGTTAAAATGAAATTTCAGATCAACAATGAATAAAGAAACAACAGCAAAGTCCAAATGGGACATAATTGTACTAAAAACAATTTTGTTGATTTGAAATTCAAATTGATCTAGATGTTTCTTTTTTTTTTTTTATTAGCTAAATCAGGCAACCCTATCTTGGAACTAGGATGCCCTCAGGAGTCTGAAATCCATTCTCTACTCACCCTGTGTGGATAAAGGAACATTACATCCTTGTCCATTTTCCATGCCAGCCTTCCTGCTCCACACCCTCAGCCTAGAGCAGAGACCTTAATGCCATCTGCCAGGGATTCTCTTACAGGTCATCCCTTGTGGGACCAGAAGGAAGCTGAACAAGGTCACCCAGTGCAACCTGATGCCAATATTCTAAGAAACCATCAAGCAAATAGGTTTAATTCATAATAGGTTTAATTCAGCCAACCTGACCTGAGGTTGGCTGAATTAAACCTACTGTCATAAGAACCGAACCTGGATTTTCATGATTTCTCCAAACATGACTTGCCAATAACTTTTTTGGCCTAACACTTTGTCAAAATCATTTTTAGGGCATCATTTATGGATTCTTCTGGTTTTGACCAACAGGTTCCTAATGCAAAGAAACAACTCATGCCAATAGCAAAGGATTATTTCATTTTCTGCCCACAGGCTGGTAAGGAGTTTCAGATCTACCAGTCTGCCTTCAACACAATGGTTTAGAAGATTAACTTAGTCAAGACCAGAGAACTCCACTCTTAGAGAATAAAAGCTCAAAGTAAGAAATGCTTTATTTTAAGACAAAACAACTAGGAAAAACACAACCAAATGCAAGTGAGAGAGCTCACTGGATTTTTTCAAAGAGAAAGGTGTCAATGAAAACCATAACTATCAGAGAGATATGCCTGCTGCTTGTGGTGACAAAGTTACAACATTTATTTTCCTGAGAAGTCTTTCTGTGGGACTGTGTGACAAGAGCGAAACAATACAATATGAGGTAGAATGGCGAGTGAGTGAAAGCTCTAATGCGCTCTCTTTTTTTCTCTTTTTTTTCTTTTTTTAGAAATAAGGAAGCAACAGGTCACTTCACAAAGAACTTATTGTCAAAGAACACTTGCAAAAGTTGAAAATGGATGCGAGGTTATTACTTAAGTATAATAGCAAGGTTAATGGGGGAAAACATTTGTGTTCTCAAAAACCAGGTTTCACACAATAACAGGCACTAAAACTAATTGTATGTGCTTAGAGTAGGGGAGAATACTCTCAATAAAAGGTGGTCTTTTTCATGATGTGCAGGAATTCTTGTTCATTGACTTGCCCATCTCCATCTCTATCAGCTTCATCAATCATTTCCTGCATGACAGTAAGGATTCAGGTTAGATGAATTCATAATGAAGCTAAAATGTGACCAAGCAATACTACATGAATAGACAATTGTCTAAGTCATAATTTGTTTTATATATATATATATATATATATATATATATATATATATATATACACACACTAGAAGGGAGCTCGAGTAGATTCTTAAAGCGTAACATTGAAAATAAAACTGTTCATGTGTGTATTTTTCTGGGAGCAGGATGCATAGGTTTGTCACACTACAAAAGGGAAATTAAGTGGTCAGCAGAGGGACAAGAAAAAACACTAGTTTTCCTTCAAAGTGGAGCTCACATTAGACAAAATGTAACTCAGAAGAGTCACCCAGAGCTCCAAGCAGGAATTCTGGGTTCCTGACTCGTGTATTACAAACCTGAAGCTCCTCATCAGTGATGTTCTCACCCAACTCCATGGCTACACCTTTGAGATTGTCGAATGATATGGTCCCAGTTTCATCATCATCAAAAAGCTTGAAAGCTTTCATGATTTCTTCTTTGCTATCTTTTTCACACTTAAGAAGTAGAACATAAAATACATGAGTAGGGAAAACACTGCAGTTATTCATTACTGTATAATCCATCTGCCCTCCCCTACATCATAGCTTGGTCTTGGAGACAGCCTTTGTGACATAGGTCCTAGGTGATTAAACATCATTCAGGGTAGAAAAATAGGACAAATTCAATAACATTACAAACCCCAGAGGCTAAAAGGGAACCTGATAAAGTACTACACTTAAGACATTCTTTCTATACAAACCAGAGAGAAATTGGACTTGCTTTTAAAATATAGAAGAGGGGTACAGTTAAAATTAGGGGCAATATAGCAACTGCATCTTGTCAAAATGTGAAATACTGTAATATTGTTGGTGTCTGTAGATTTTATTGCTTGTGTTTACCGTATTGACATACCAGTTAAAGAAAGACAATAGCAAAAAAGTGACAGCAGTAGTACCTTCACTACTTTACAGAGGGCAACATGACTTTTCCTGTGACTTTGTGGTCCTGATAAGCTAACTTACCATTTTCTGAGTTACCACAATCAAGAAGTCATTGAAATTCATTTTTCCCGTCTCTTCCTTGTCAATTTCACTTATCATCTTCGTAATCTCTTCTTTCTTGGGTTCAAAACCCAGTGCTCTCATCACCACCTACAATGAAAATAGGAATATCTCAATATACACATGTCAATATAGCAAGAGCAAAAATGACAGTTTTGGGAGCATTAATCCAGCATCTGCATGCATTTTATTGAATCACACTTAAAGTAAAGATAGGGAAACAGCACAGTGTATTCTTCCCTTGTTACTTTTCTCAGGGAGAAAAGGACAACTGGAGGAGAGTGGTGACAAGGAAAGAAGACAAAGAGGCACAGGAAAGGAAAGGCAGCCGAGCAGGAATGTACAGGTCTTGCCTTAATTTCCTTAACATCAATGGTCCCAGTTGCATCAGTATCGAAGAGATTAAAAGCTTGACGGATCTCCTGTATCTGCTCCTTAGAAAGCTCCAGATTAGTACCCAACCTTTTTCTCTGGAAAGATGATGATGATGATGCCATGAAGACTTCCTTAACGGTAGAGGCTTTTAGATGCTTTACAAACACATAAGCACAATATCATGTAAAGTAGCCCATATATTCCATAAAATAAAGACAACCATATATGCTTTTAAAATACTCCATTCCAACCAATCCCAAAGCTTTACTTAACTGGAGGGATAATAGGGTTTACTGGGAATAACAATCTTTCCATGCACCTCTATCCCTCCCTCTTTTTTACTATTGTTTCTAGAAGCAAGGACCAGAAGCTAGTTAAGAACCAGAGTGTGGATAACTGTACAGATACACATTCCCTGAATTCGAATTCTAGAATTTCCTTACAATAGCCACTCGCGGTACTCCGCTTCCCTCTAAGTATTCGTTCTGATCACTTCTAGATTTGGCTAAATATTAGTGTTAAGATGTACACTGTGTCAATATCGAATAATAAAACTCAATCTATAGGGCACATCTCTCTGCCTTCCCCAAAAGGTCAGAGCGTCTTCCAAATAGCTCTTATATTTAAATTTCAAAATGAGCATTAATATCATAAACCTCCCCCTAAACACTGTGCGGAAACTTTGGTACTGGGAAGCGTCCAGGAGGCCAGAGGTAAGAGGGATCAGACCTTAGAGGAAGTCGCGTCTTCTTTGCCCTGGGACAGTTTGCTGGGAAAGCCAGCAGCGCCCGGTGGGTGGGTGGGGGGCGGATGGGGGTTAAGGGGAGGCAGGAAGGAGGCACTGGCCGGGCTAGGAGTCTGTTTCTTCGGGTCCTAGGGAGAAAGATAACACAGGGAGGAGGGGCGTGCCAAAGCCACGAACCAAGCGGGAAAGGCAGAGAAGGGCTTGGGAAACGCTGTGACTTAGGGAAAGCGGCGCGATAGAGGGCAGCACTCACCATCTCAACCGACTCCGCTCCTGGTTGTTAAGGTAACCAATGTACACACAGTAAATGGGCGCAGTTCCCCTCACACCACGCGCGCAGCCCCGCTCCCCATTGGTGACGCCCTCGCCGCCGCCGCTTGCCATTGGCGTAAAGCTTGGATGGGCGGGACTAACGGACAAAGGCCCCGCCCAGGTCTGGGAGTGGCGCGATTGTGGCGAAAACCTGACCTCATTGGGCAGGGCCACGCCTCGCGCGCAGATCGGGTGAGCGCGCGCCTTGCCGAGCGGGTCCCGGTCTTAAAGGAGCCTCCACCTGTCCTTGGCTCACGCGGGCCGCAAGAAAAGGGTGGCGGCCGGGGACCCCAGCTCTGTAGATGCTGGCTGCAGCCCTGCTGAAACTTCTAAGGGGAACGTCTACGGACGGGTAAGGGTCGCAACCTCTCTCTTGGAGGCTGTCTTGTGTTGGCGAACTGGGCGGGATGGCTAGGGGCTGGGTGGGGCGGTCCTGGTCCGGGCTTTCCAGTCTGGCCTAAGACTGAATTAGGGTCAGAGGGCTTCACACGGATGGATGAGAGAACCTTCTGTGCTGGAGTGTAGGGTACTCACAAGGAGACCCAAAAAGGACGTGCCGAGCATGGTCGCACAGGTTCGAACGACTGGGGCTTCGAAGCAGAATCGAGCTGAGGCTTTCGTTGAAGGTGTCCCATTGAGAATATCCCCTCCCCCAACCCAAACACACACACACACACACACACACACACACACACACACACACACACACACACACGGTTCCAAGTGAGAATCACTTGAGTTCTTCCCTGGCTAAAGCAGCCCAGGAAGGTGGTTGGGAGCCTGGAACGTACCGAGGAGGGAAGGAAATATGGGTGAGCATGAGAGGGAGAGAACGTCATAATACAGACATCCAGACAATAGAAAGCAGGGAGAAGCATTCCAGGCGAGACAACTCTCCTGAGTAAAGTCACAGAGGAGTTTTGGAAGGGTGAGGCCTGCTTGGAGGAGTAGAAGGGGGTGGGTTTGTGCAAAGGGAAGCTGATGAGTTGAACCTGCGGGTCCGCCCTCCTCAACCAGCCCCGTGTTAAGAGCTCTAAGGCTCCATGTGGCTTAGAGCCCTTACCTGCTTCCCCTCTGGACACTGGGGCAGTATTTAGGGAGGCAGGACCCAGAGCAAAAGTTTCTCAGACCGAGAAAGGCCTGAGGTGTATTAGCATCCCTTAAATGAAAGTGTTTACACACCTTCTGTCCTTTTCCCTCTTCCCGTTTGAACATGAACCAGGTCTAGACATTTTGGTCAGGTCATATATGATTTTTTTTTTTTTTTTTTTTTTTTTTTTTTGCTGTCCCTTCCACATTAACCAGCCTCTAAGTTCTACCCTTAAGTGCCATTTCTTTCTTTTCTTCTTTTCCACCTCTGCTGCTCCACTGCCAATGTGGGCCTTCAGCATCAGCCTTCCAACTAGTCCAAGTCCAAGTTCTCACCTTGGTCCACAAGGCCTGGCAGGACACACCCCCTCCTCTCTCCAGCCCGGGACACTGGCTTCCTTATTGGGCTGTAAAAGCACAGGCACACTCCTACCTTAGAACTTTTGCTACGGCCGTCCCTTCTGCCTTCTTGGTCCACTTCTCCCCTCACTCCACTCCTCCCCCCCCCCCCCGTCTTTGCTTCACTATTACCTTCTCAGTGAGCCACCCTAAGCTCCTTCTTTAGCCCTGTAGCCCCCAGCACACCCAAACCCCATATCTTTCTCTACTTTTTTTTTCCCCACAGTGCTTATCACCTTCTAACCTATGGTACCTTTTACTTATTTATTTTGTCTTTTTTGCCCAGCCAGCAGAAGGTTAGCTCTTGGAAGGCAGGAACCTTTGTTTTGTTCACTACCAGCACATAGTAGGTGCTCAGTAAATCTCGGTTGAAAAACTGGTGAGTAATCCCCCCATTACCTGCTTCTTACCTAGTTAGTCTACCTGGTTCTATCGGGTTAATCTTCCCAGTGAATAGTTCTGGTTAAGTTACCCCCATATTTTTATTTATTTTTAAATATATATTTATTGATTTTTTTACAGAGAGGAAGGGAGAGGGATAGAGAGTTAGAAACATCGATGAGAGAGAAACATCAACCAGCTGCCTCCTGCACACCCCCTACTGGGGATGTGCCTGCAACCAAGGCACATGTCCTTAACCAGAATCGAACCTGGGACCTTTCAGTCCGCAGATCAATGCTCTATCCACTGAGCCAAACCGGTTTCAGCCACCCCCATACTTTTAAACCTTCAGTGGTTCCCCTGGGTACAGAGTAAAGCCCAGACTCAGCCTAGCATCTGAGCCTCCTGCCCAGTTTTGCCCCTGCTAATCTTTCTTACTTCGTGTCCCTCCACATCCTACTTCCCAGTAGGTGGCAGACTGCAACAACTACAGGTTCTGCCTTGACTGTGCACCAGCTGTGTGACTTCAGGCAAGTGGCTTGACCTCTCTGAGCCTCAGTTTGTCCTCTGTTGAGTGAGAGCAGTACTGTCTCCCTAACTGGATGCAGGTTTTCAGGCAATATCAGTTCTTTTCTCTGATTTGCTCTTGTCATTCCATATACTTAGCATGCCTGGAGCCTTAGACTTGGCTAAAATCCCTTCTCCATACCGCAGCCAGAGGGATCTTTTTTATCTTAACACTCACCCCGGCTTACAACTTCCAAGGGCTCCCCCATTTCCTCACTAACTCCTTAATATTGCTCTCAATCTTATTTTTTACAATCCTCAGTCAAGGATGTGGTTTGTTTTGTTACTTTTTGTTTGATTGTTTGTTTGTTCTGAGAGAGAAAGGGAAGGAGGGAGGGAAAGAGAGAGAGATTGGCAGTTGCCTCCCATATGCTCCCTGACTGGAAATCCAACCCACAACCTTTTGGTGTACAGGATGATGCTCCAACCAGCTAGGACTTTGCTCCCAATCTTGCTTCATCCCATGACACTTGTCATAACTGCCAGGGCATGCTGGCTCTGTGCCATTACCTCATCATTCTCACCATGGGCCATGGAATGTCTTTTAGGTCACCCACCCCGTCCACTTGACTCACTCCTTCCGGGCCTTGAGAGCTCAGCTCGGGGATTGCCTTCCGGACCAGGCTTCTTGCTCTGGGGTTACCCTCCACAGAGCTCAAAGGCACTTCTGCAGTGCTCTCCTAGGTCTGTTTCTCACATCGGGTGGTGGGCTCCTCCTTATGCAGGTTCTGCTTCGTAGTGGCCAGCATTCGGCGCCTTGTGAGTGAGGGAATGGAGGAAGAGGTGAGCTGACACACCTGGTTGCTCTTTTACAAGCTGCAGCTCCCTTCCCCTCCCTCTCCTCCCGGGCTTGTTTGGGCCCCACCACAGCAGCTCCGAGGTCAGCGGGAGAGCTTGCTGCCCTCCAGGTGAAGTCTCTTAGACCAGCCACAGCAGCGCAGTTCAACCCAGACTCCCTAACAGCCTCTTTGCTGGCCCTCCAGGGGGCTCACAGCCTTAGTGGGCCAAGACTAAGGTGACCAGACATCCCGCTTTTGGCGGGACAGTCCCAATTTTTAACAATTTGTCCTGCGTCCCGCTGCGGTTTAAAAATTGGGACTTTTTTTAAATGCCGTGGGACAAATCGTTGAAAAGCGGGACGTCTGGTCACCTTAGCCAGGACAGATGAGGGAGGAAAGGTATAAACCAGCGTGCAAAGTGATAGAATGGTGCTAAGCAAGCTGCTAACCTTTCTTAGGGATGGAGAAGGGGTTTCACAGCGGTGACAATTGAGCTAGGCCTTGAAGGATGGGGAGGAGCTCACCATGGAACAGAGAGGGAACAGCATATGCTAAAGCTCACAGGCATGTTGTTGGCTTTCGCAGTAGCTACCATGTATTCATAGCCTGGGCCTTTCCGTGTCCTAAAAGTACATAGATAAGCAGAGAGAAGGGTGACTGGCAGAAACATACAGATACCTCAAGTGTGTGTAAGAACAAGGAGGGAATATTCATCTTTCCCTGTCTGGTTTGAAATGGACTGACTTTCCTTTCCTTTTCTCTCCAAGACTCAGCCGTGTGGAACTTGTCCCAACAGAAAGAAAATCGGTTTCGCTCACTCCTCTCTTTATTGGATCCTGTCAGCAGCCCTCATCCTCTTGTCCAGAAGTTGAGTGAAGCCCTTGGATTTCACCAGTAGAAGGTAGCTCTCTTTTTTTAGATTCTTTACAGCCTAACACTTTGTCCCAACGTGTAGAAGCGCACATATATACTGGTTTTTCGTGGATTCAGAAATCTGCCAGGTGAAAGGAGAAAGGCTTCAGGCTTCTGATTTGTGAACTTGAACCATCAGCCTCTCACACGTTGCTCTTTGGGGGCTTATTTTCCCCTTCAGAACTGTTCTGAGTGAATGTGCCGTAAAGTAGAACGGAAGATTTACCATTTTCACCATTTTCAAGTGTGCAGTTCACTGGCATTTAGTAGATTCACATTGTTGTGCGGCCATCACCACATTCCATCTCCAAGAATTCTTTTCATTTTGTAGAAATGAAGCTATTTATATCTACTAAGCCAGTGGTTCTCAACCTTTCTAATGCTGCGACCCTTCAATACAGTTCCTCATGTTGTGGTGACCCCCAACCATAAAATTATTTTCGTTGCTACTTCATAATTGTAATTTTGCTACGGTTATGAATTGTGATGTAAATATCTGTGTTTTCCGTCCACTGAATTAGGGGATTGAGGTGGGTGGGTTGTCAGTGGGATCTGGTTCATTCCCCAGAATAGTCTTGGGTACCCCAGCCCCTAGAGACAACTACAGTATAACCAAAGTTCTTACCTGGCTCATAGTATTTACACACTTTAAAATAATTTGCATATAATTTGATACACCATAGATTTTATGTCATTTTGTTTTTACAAGAGGCTGGTTTGCTGAGGTTCACATAAGACTTGTGTGAATGGCCGAGATCGGTTTGGCTCAATGAATAGAGCGTCGGCTTGGGGACTGAAGGGACCCGGGTTCGATTCC